GAAATCAGGACTGTTATCAGAAAAACCAGGAGTGTGGAAGCAGCAGGACCAGACAACATGTTAACTGAAGCACTGAAGTTATACGTAGAAGTAACTTCAAACATGCTCCACATTCCATTAAGGTAGATTTGCGATGAAGAACAAGTGCCAACAGACTGGAAAGTAGGACACCTCAACGAGATACCAAAGAAAGAAGATCTGAGAAAATGTTAGAACTAAAGAAGCATCACATTACTATCAGTAGCATGAAAAGTTTCCAACAGAGTGTTGTTGAACCAGATGAACGATTCAGTAGACGCCCAACTTCGAGAACAACAGGCTGGATTCAGTAGGGATCTATCGTGCACAGACCAAATGGAGACACCACGGATCATCGTTGGATAATCAGTTGAGTTGAACTCATCAATATATATCAATTTCATTCACTATGGGAAGGTATTTGACACTGTGGATAGAAGAAAATTAAGGAACCTTCTTCGACACTTGAGAAGGTCGTCAACATCATCCAGCTGAGTACGAAATGAAGAAAAGACGTTGGAAGTGGATAGGTCACACATGCAGGAGATCATCAGACTGCATCATGAGGCAAGCCGTAATTTGGAATCCTGAAGACAAAGTGGAGATTGGAAGACCATGGAACATATTTATTCGGGAATTAGAACCAGACATGAAAATAATGGATGGGGACTGGAAACCACTGGAAAGGATTGCCAAGAACAGAGTTGGATGGAGAATGCCGATGAGCCGTCTATCTCCTACACGACGTAGGGTAACAGGCGTAAGCAAGTAAGTCATATAAATCCAATTTATACTTCATTAATCCGGGTACGCTTTACAGCTATAGACCATTTACACATTCCAACTGACAACAGTGACTGCTAATCTATTGGTTCAGGACCCTCTGAACCGGTATCCAGCCAGATGTAGGAACATAACAAACAGACAAATGTCGGATTATTATTTAATCCTTACAGCTCAATAATTAATATCTTTATGTAGATTAATGATGAAGCCACAATACATAGCAAATAAGAAATTAAAATTTTTTCAGAATGAAGTCGAATGTGAGTAAGTGGTAAATAATTACTACGAAGTATAACAATACTTAGTGAGTCCAACGGAAGCTCAGGATACACGGAAAATGACAATACAATAATAAACAATTGTTGCTTTAAGACGCGAAAATGTCTTGATACGACCGATGGTAGGATGGGTTCTCTCTCTCTCTCTCTCTCAAAATTCTCTCATATGGTCACGCTGTAGCTTATAGTTTTCCTGAGGTTTTGGCAATTTATTTAAATCCAACTAAGAAAATTTTTTTTAATTCTTACGAAACAACTATGGATGATATACAAAAGATTGAATTGGTCTATGTTCAACTGTACCATTTCAGTCCAAGCAGAGTATGCTTCCATTTTTTATATACGTTATTCTTATCTTCGTTCTATACAACTAAAAAGTGTAATCAGTTTCGGGGTTGTGGAGATTGTTAAGTTTCTGATTGAGATCATGAACCGATTGATGTTGGGCCACCATTGAAAACCTGGAAGCACTGAACGGCCGTTTCGCCCTATTGTGGGACTCCTCAGCAGTGCTCATCCACGATCCCACTCGCGAACGCTTAACCTACTAGACCGCCGAGCCGGCATCTAATAGTGTTAATTTCTAACCTCCCACAATAGGACGAAACGGCCATCCAGTGCTTCCAGGTTTTCAGTGGTGGTCCAACATCAATCGATTCATGATCTCAATCGAAATTATACATACCTTATTGAAATGCTTGTTATTTAACTAAACTGTATTGTAAAGTGTTTCCAATTAATTAATTATTTATTTATCATTCACAAGTTGATCTATGTATCTATGTATGTATGTACGTATGTATGTGTAAACAGTAATTACATAATAATTAATTCAAGTTCCATTCTATTCAGATCAATCTCACGCTAAACAATTTTCTCAAATGTTTCACAATGGAAACTCTTTCACATTTAATTTGTATTGAAAAACAAAAGTATGTGTAGCGGTTATTGAAATTCCTTTTTCAAATAGATCACACAATAAATCGTTACAGTACAATTTACATTTAAACGTGTTAGTAACAATCATGATCGAACAAATGAATAAGATATGAGAATTTTCAGGGTTTTTTAGGGGGGATGGTGTGGGGTGTAGGAGAGGAAATGTTTATTGAAAACGTTTATAAGATCATTTAAACTATAATTTATTTAAAAAATTCGTTTCACTGATTTAAATCATTAGTCAATTGAAGCTAGACCATTATGAAAAACCTGGAAGCACTGAACGGCCGTTTCGTCCTAGTATAGAACTCCTGAAATTGTAGTTAGAATCAGTTACCAGTGAAGTTCGACCAGGTCTGTTGTGAGATATCGACTCACTGAAGACAATGGTATACGGTGGCGCAACTTTGTAGATTGGTTGAAGTTAGACATTAACATCGTTGGATGCTGGTCGGGTCAGTGGTCTAGTTGGTTAAGCGCCTGGCGCGAGACTGATAGGTCCAGGATTCGAATCGCGTGGGGTGCGGGGTCGTGGATGCGCACTGCTGAGGAGTTCCATACTAGGAAAAAACGGCCGTCCAGTGCTTTCAGGTTTTCCATGGTGATCTAGTTTCAATTGATTCATGATTTCAAACAGTGGAATCTCTAAGATCTCCACAAAACCCCTTCTGATAAAAATTCGTTTGATAAATAGTAGTTTTGTTAGTAAAAGTATTTGAAATTAAATTAATAACCTGGATATTGAAGTCCAATTTAATTGACTTCTGTAAGATATTCATAAGTTATTAGTATTTCCTCACATATTAGAATTATTGCTGGCATCTGCTCGTAACACTAGGTAAGTAATGGTGAGGTTAGACGCAGGGTATTAGGGAGTGATGATGGTAAATCAGCTCATGAGTTTGTAAATCTACATCTACTGAGATGGTTGGGCCACGTTTTATGTATGCCTGAACACCGATTACCACAACGCTCAATGCTGATTAGTGTCGGAGACAATTGGAAGAAAGTCAGGGGCAGCCAAACCGAAACGTGGCATCAGTGCTTGACGTCACTAACTTCTGATCTGAGCCATGTTGGTAGATGCAAACCATTTGGTTGGAGTCAGTGTGACAGTCACAACCAATGCTTAGAAACTCTGGGTGACTTAAAACTGAGATTCGACCACAATGGCACAGGTGTATAGACTCTTTACCTTCCCTTAAACCGTGGGGTTAAAATTATTTTATACCTTTCTTTCTACGAACTAACTATTCCTTCATGTATTATAACCTTACATGCAATTTTTGTTTTTATATATTATTACCATTGAAATGACTGCTTCTATGAATTTGGTGTTCATCTTGTTGTGATGGTGAGGTATGACAACTTGGACTGATGCATATATGTGCCTGGTCCTACGTTTTAGCTGACTGACTGACTGACTCTGTTCAAACATTTGGATGGTATCAATAATAACGATTAATAGACAAGGACATAAATCTATACTTGCTTCATGTAATGAATTAGTTATGTAGTACGTATTCACAATACTGGTGGTTATATAATGCGTTAAAGTATATAGATTACTGTCAACTTGAAGAGAATTTGAGCGAGGTTGAACCCTCAAAACCATCCTATGTGGGATTACTTTTTATATTTCCTACTGAAAGGTTATTAAACGATTTCAATATTGTATCCCTATAGTCTTCTATTCTTTGATTTTCATATGACCCATAAACCATTGTTATCTACCGTACCATTCCAGATTTATTATTAATTGATTATTCCCCTCCTGCTTATTTATGAGCTGGTGGTGTGTATATTGCATTGTGGTTAGGCAGTTAATCTATATTAACACACGATTTTTAAGTCAATGGTATATATAGAGTAAAATAGAAATTTCTGCTTACTAACTTCGTCTTCTGATTCGACAGTAGGTTAAACGAAATTAAAGAACCAATACTCATTCAGGTATATGTTGTTGTTGTTCATTGATCATTGGGTCATTGATAACATAGAAAATCATTGATCTTACAAGTAATATAAGTGAGTAAATCAATAAATGGTGCAGAGAATAGAACTGTTCTTACGATAAACAACCAGATCATATGGATACTGTCACAATACATGAATCCGCTTTTTGAGATTATAATAATTACTTATATATAGTTCATGAAATCTATATGTTTTATTTAGAGATAGTTTAGTTTAAAAACCGTTCTTTTAACAGAATATTAAAAGTTAGAAAGAGCTGGTTAGTTTGTTTAATTCTCATTTGCATTTTTTTCTTTAAGTAATCTAAACCAATACCGCCTGGAGTCCCTCCGGGGGCTACTGCCGGTCCCAAGCCTGGATAAAGGAGGAGGATTGGACATGGGGTTAGCGATCCCATCTCGTAGAAAACTAACTCGCTAAAAAAACGCTAACCGAAGCTGGTCGGCGGTCAATGCTCCATTAGGAGTAACAGGCGTAAGTAAGTAAGTAATCTAAACCATTTATCCTAAATAATACCAGATAGAATATCCTTTAAAGTTAAAAAAATCTTGACTGAATATTATTATATCCATCACTAGACTTGACTATCTTAAAATGAGTCTGATATAATCTCATAGATGTGTGGAAATCTGTTCAGATCTTTATTCTTTTCAATGGTTATTCAACTAATCTGTATGTTCACGAGAAAACTATCATCAAATTAACCGTCTTTTTTTACATGTTATACAACATTTAATAGTGATATCAATTTGTATAAGGTCAGCTTGAGATGTAACAGTCTCACTGCACCCCCCCCCAAAAAAAAGACATAATCCATACCCATTATTGATGAAAACAAGTGTCCAACTCCACAGTGTTGTATAGAAACGTCATTCAACAAACATTGACAAACGTATAGCTCACAACATAAGTATGATCATCTTTCTTAATGAATTATGTACACATAATATAAATGAATAAATGGAAAAAAAACACAAACAAACAAACAAATGTGAATAAATTTCAACACTTACCAGATACAGATTTCAATCCTGATCTTTCAAAACTGGACGCTTTAAATTGATTGCATATATTTGATTTGTTTGAATGATTAGGGCTAATACCGACTGGAGCACTTTTGGGCTCAGATAACGAGTTCTGTTGTTGTGATTGTAGTTCATCTGTTGTTGTTGTTGTTGTTGAATCGCATACAACATCACTAGAAGTATTCTGTTGTCTATGTTGTTGTTGCTTAATATTCAAGATTAATGATCCTGGTACAGTCGTGGTTGTAGGTGAGGTTGCTGTCACTGCTATTATTGACGTTGTTGTTGTTGTTGTTGTTATTCTTGTCGATGATAATGATGATATTGGAGTAGTAAGTGTTTTCTGTTGTAATTTATTACTTCGGGTTCCAGATGAATTATTATTATTATTATTATTATTATTATTACACGGATTACTGATATCACTATTCACTGTATAATTATTAATATTTTGATAATCATATGACTTTTTATGAGATTGACTTAATTTTTGAGTTTTTACTTTTATATCCACTAAATTATTTGCTCTTGGTATAGATTGACGAATACTACTAGTTTGATATTGTGGTGATAATGGTTTTGTACTAGTTATTGAACTTGGTGAAAATGATAACGAACCATTGAATGATGATGTAGTTATTGAAATAGATGAAGGAAAACGTAATGATGTAACACTGAAATATAATAAATTAAATGATTCAACTTATAAGTTGTCGTTAGTGGCGGTTTTTCGTTGTTTTAAAAATTCATTTGTTTTTCAATATTAATAATGATAATAATAATAATAATAATAATAATCACGAAAAAAATTTTTTTTTCTCCGAAATGAAAAACAAAAAAATTTTTTTTAATGGTTCTGTTGTCAGGGTATTTAATTGATCCTTAGTGTAAAAGTGTTACAAACTCTTGGATTAGTTTCACTGTAATTAAAATGAGATGATAAACATTGGTATATATATATATATATATAGAGAGAGAGAGAGAAAGGGGGGAGAGAGAGGTGGTGGTGGGTTGTGGGCGTGTCAGACTAAAAATAATTTTATAACCGAGTATTATAATCAATATGACAATAATCTAATCATTGATTGGTCAATCAATTATCATTATTTTGATTGGTTTAAATTTGTTGTTATCGTTATTATTCTAGACTTGTAAAATTAATTTTAGTCTACTCTATTATTTGAATAAAATAAAATTTCACAGATTGAAATCATAAGTCAATTGAAGCTAGATCACTATGGAAAACCTGGAAGCACTGGATGGTTGCTTCGTCCTATTGTGGGACTCCTCATCAGTACTCATCCACGATCCCGCCACCCCGCGAGATTTGAACACAGGACCTATCAATCTTGCGCCAGGAGCCTAACCAACTAGACCACTGAGCCGGCCAGCATCCAACGGTGTTTATGTGTAATTTCAACCAATCCACGAAGTTACGGCACCGTACACCATTGTCTTTAGTGAGTTGATATCTCAAAACAGATCTAATTGAACTCCACTCGTGACTACTTCTAACTAGAACTCCAGGATATACTTCACGAAGCCAGTCACTTGTTGACTAATATCAAATAGGTTTTGTGGATATCATAGTAATTTTAATGGTTAAGATCATGAATCATTTGAAGCTAGAAACCAGTAGGTCCTGGGTTCCAATCTCTTGAGGCGAGGTCGTGGATGCGCACTGCTGAGGAGTCCCATACTAGAAAAAAAACGGCCGTCCAGTGCTTCTATGTTTTCCATGGTGATCTAGCTTCGATTGACTTATGATTTCAATCAGAGAAATTTCTAAAATCTCCACAAACCCCGTGTGATAAAACAAAATTGTCATAAAAATAGATTTTTTTTAAAGTTTATTAAAATTCATAAAAAACAATAAAAAAAACTTTTTTTCTTATTTCTTAATAAAATAAACAGTTAAACAGAGAATATAAGTAAAGATAGATGGTAACTAACATTGAAATCTATGACATGAGTTACGTATTCTTTTTAAGACTTATCAACTGAATGTACCTACATCTCAGAGTTGATAATTTACTCTGGGACTTAAACTTAATACTGTTAGTTTCAAATGTTATCACATTATTCACTTAGTTACAGAGTTCTAATAAGGTAAGAAGACGTCTATAATAATTGTTGTTATTATATCCCGGGATTTATTAATTATAGGAAAGTAGTTTCTTTAAATGTTCAACTTTATCAGAAAGAATAACAGTTTCGAGAGACTATATCATCTTTCATTGATTTTCAAGATAACAGTATGCTTCCTGAAGTACTATCAAGTTTAAAATAGCGGATGTCAGATTTTTATGTGAAAAGTTGAAATGCGATAACGGATAGTTCGTAACTTGTTGAAAACTAAGTCGTTGATAATTAAAACGTAGTTACTAAGACTGGTTAGTGAAAGAAATTGTGAGATCAATGACATTGAGCAAATTCCAAGATTTTTTGCTCAAGATTGACGGTACTGGATTCTATTCTCAGTGGTTGGGTCGTGAGTACGCATTAGTGAGAAGTTATATATTAGAACAAAGCAAAAGCAAGGTTATAATTTATGGATGAATCAATCAGGTATAAGATAACAAGTCTCAGATTATGGTGTGAAATTCATTCATCCATTTGACTGAGTCTTGGCAATATAGCCGATGTCAGTTCTTGATAAAAACAAGAAATCTTATTCCTAACCTTAACCATCAACTGTAAATCATAATTCTAATTCATCTTGCTTGTTTATAACCCTCATTTGATCCTAGTTATCAGATGGACACTCCCAATCTCTCAGTCTAGCGTCGCTCAAATGTCGTCCATAAATTACAGTCTCACCAAAACAACTGTACAATGCTTACCGGCGCTCAATGGTGGTCCAAAATCAGTTTGTAACTTAAAAACTACTGAAATCCTAAGATGACAATGGAAAAGTGACTAGTTTGAAATGAAAAGGTAGATAAAATTAAGATATAATTGGTATGTAAACATAATTTATTGAGTTTTCGTGGTAATTTTCATAACTGTTTATCAATACGATTATCGGACACCCATCCCCTCTTTCAACCTTGAATCCTGACCCTAATCATCAATTCTAACCCTAACTTCAAACCTAAAAGTCTAGTTTTCACGTTAGTCATTTTCGCGTTTTTGTACAACATATTATTAATATATATATATCACTTGCATCCCGACAAACCTAAAAATGTTTACCACTTTTCAGGGTCATTTTAAGGATCACTGACATTTGTCAGTAAAGCATAATTTCAAAATGCCAAGTGTCAGCTCATTTATGAAGACTATCAGGAGAACAGTGATATGATAATCTAGAGTCCACCAATCTAAATCCTTACATATTACGTTCCTTTTCGTTATTTAAGTTATTAAATCTACCTCAGTAGTTGAAAATTTTAGTAAATATTATTTAAGCAAACCTAGCCATTATATATATATATATATATATATATATATATATATATATATATATATATATATATATATATTGCCAAGCTGAATTAAAAGGATAGCTATGTAGTACTGTAGTGAAGGAGAACACAGGTGAGGACAACCGAATTATTTTTAGCACGAATTACAGAGTTACTTGGTAAAATAGAAAAAACCATACTACAATACATAGTTTGCAAAATGTTCAATAATTGTCTCAAACTTCGTTGTTCTTGCATTTCCATATTAATTGCTTTCTACTTCCATTCTTCCTTCCTTGATCTTCCCCATCTTCTGCTGCCAGACATTACATTCCTGACTCGCGCCACATACTACTTATATCAATATAAGTAGCACGCACCACAGTACCATTAAGTAAGGTTACTTAAATGCAGTGTGAAGAATACACGACAAAATGTGTTTAAAATGTTAAAAATATCATGTTCAAGTACGTAAAAAAAAGAAACAATCAATTCTTAAAAGTAGTATTTTAAATCTGTCGAATCATTATGAATAGCATCTGAGTCGACTAAGTGATTGAACCTGAGAAATAATGACAGTAAAATCCTGCGTGTTAGATTATTCACAAAGTATTATTGTACAGTGATCTTGATAAGTAAACTATGGGTGGTGATAACAACAATAATAAATAATAATAAGTCCCTAATATTGGAAACATGAGTTACGTCACACCGCATCTGATCAATAAACTAATATGGTGTTTATGAGACAAGATGATGAATATTAATCAGTATGAAATACTAAGGGATTTGTACAAAGAATGTTACTAAGGTAAGTTCTAAGAGAATAAAGAGTGATTGAATTGGGTTTTAAGATAACAAACTCTACATAAAATATTGGAAGTAATTTATTACTTTAGCTAAAAAAACCCGTAAAAACAATTTGGAGAGCTGTTTTATTGTAGATAAGATTCCTCACCAGTTTGAATGTGTCAAGTGTAAGGTAGTCACATATCAATGATATTAGAAGATGATTTGGCAATATCACGAATTCACTGGAGTTAAAAATGTGAATTATTCGTTTTAATAACTTGGTGATCTAAAGATTAAACATTTACCACTAGATCAAAATGTAATGGATTTGATCATCGGCAGTATTGTGGATGAATGCTTCATAGACATTCCACGCTACGACTAAACAGTAATCTATAAATCACTGGACATAAATACCGAAGATTTGGAAGTTTGATATTTGGAATAAAACTTAAAAGCAATAGGTTATATTGTGAAACATTTTATTAAGCTAAAAGTCTTACAATAAGATAATCCAAGTATTTATTCCATGCTTAAACCTTCAGTAATCAAAAAAAGTCTTGAAATTAATAATTTCATAAAAACATTTAACTTTAGAATACCATACAGTGAATATATAACACTTGATGATGAGGAATAAAACATTTCATAGACTACCGTCTCCTTACGGAATCATAGGGATTTATTGATTTTAAAAAGAGTATTACGTAATACACTTCTTTCCAAGTAATCGTGAATGAACTTCTTCTCTATAGGTCCTTTCTAACTCTGCTAATTCAATATTCTAATGTAGAGAGTCTTCACCTTTGAAACCAATTAAGATGAAATTAAAGATGTTTCCTAGTTAAAATGAATCATTATCTTCCTGTCATATTTCAGCTAAACTACAATATGAGAGGTACAGACACAATTGATCATAGCTAATAACTGTATAATGGTCTACTCATCATCCAGCTTGAATATCTTCCAGACTCTGATCCATCTCTAGGTTATGAATGTACTCAGCTGAGCATGAGGCCAAAGTTCTACAACCGTTCATTGCAATTTACTCTGAAGAAACCATCCTTTATATGTTCGAGACTAGATTTAAAGTAAAATTGATGAGTTTTCAGTTAGTTGAATAGTTTTGATGGCAAACAAAACATCAGTGATTGTAAAGGGCAAGCAGATTTCACATATAGAATGAATCCTACCAAATATCTGTGAAGGTTACTTTGTCGGTAAACATAAATTTGTCATTATAAATATAGATTATCTGACTACTCAAACACACGAGTCTAAGGTTTGAAGATAGTGTCAATTTATTTATTATATACAGTTTGTGTAGCTGGAATAGATGACTCAATACGTTTACAACTATCATTTTTACTCTATCCCGCCCTATTAATATATATAACGTAATGATATCACCAATTAGAGAACAGTGATTAATCGACCGGATCAGTGAAGCATAAAACATGTACGAGCAAACTAAA